TCCAAGGGATCCCCAAGTCACACCTGGAGGCTGGCATCCCTACCTACAATCCATGATATGTTTAGATCTTGTTACGTTTCTGTCAATGAATTAATACAAATACAAAACCCAGCATGCTGTGGAAACAGATAAAGAGGTTATAATGAAAGATAAAAGCAAGATGCTTTAAAAAAACGAGGGAAGGTTTGAATTATATTAAATGACTACTTCTAATATTAATTTAATATGATCCAGGTTACTATAAAATAGTATACATCTCTTATGGAGCCTATTATATAAATATTAGTACAAAGTTAAGGATGACTCAGGAAAGGGGACAAGGCAAACTCTAGTGGAATGCGCTACTTTAGGGAAGATACTATTTCAAGTGGAACACAGAAAACAATGGAATAATACATCTGGAGAAATTCAGATCTGGAACTCTGAAACATCCAAATCAATAGCAGAGGTGGTGATAAACTTTCAGCTCCCAACAAGAATGACTGTCAGCAACCTAAGAACACTTCAAAACATTGTGCAGTTCTCTCCATGCACACACACATACCCCTAGATACACATGAAGGTTCTCAAAACAATGAGACTGGACAGCATTACTTCAAAGTGTAAAGAATCCTACCACCACTTAAATTTTCTCTCATTAATTTAACAGGTTTTGGTAAAATGCCATACATACTCAGCCCAAAATGTAACAAATTACAATATATATTGTCCTGCCCAAACTTACATAATTTTTTGTGCTTCAAACAACATCACTTGGGTAGACTGCTGATGCAGCATGACACAGCAAGACTTCAGTAAACATTTATGTTCTACCATAGTCTAGCAAATTATTTATTAATATTCTTGCAAAGATTGGCTGGAAGACTCATTTAGAACAAAATCATAAGCTTTCTTGTAGATTATATACACACTTTGTCATGCAAACAAACATTTTACACTGCAGTGAATACCTTCAAAGAATATTTATGTTGTCAACTAGATTCTAAAAGTTATTTCAAACACATTAAACTATCCTTTTAAGTCCATTTACCTGTGCAGTAAAACTTTGCAGGCCATTCTGATTATTTTTGCTATTCCAAACGAGCACTTCATGTAAAAATACTTCATTTGAAGAACAATGCAGTATGGTGTTCTCTGTTGGCTATTCATTCTGCTTTCTCAACGACTTCAATAGCTGCTTGTAAGATGGCACTTCTGAAGTGCTGCACTAAGCCCTGCAGTCTACACAGAAATAGACTGCAACATGAGGTCACTACTGACAATAAGCTGCCCAATCAACATTTTTGCTCTAGTGTGCATTTTGTTCTACCTAGTCTTGATACAGGATGGCAGATCCAAAGGATTCCTGAGAATAACACTCATCTTCCCAGTTTGAATGCCATATAAGAAGAGATTCACAAAACAGCATATGATGAAATGTAAGTAATTTGAACAAACAGTAAGGGAACTGTGGAGTACCTTAAACAAACTAAGATCGGGGGGGGGGGGGATCATTGCAAAGCAGATGTACTAAAAACACAGCCACAATGAAATTCTAACTAAAATAAAGTCAGACTTTCAGAGAACCTGAGACTATGGATCACAGCCAAAGGTATTACAACGCATATATGCAAGTATCAAAATAAAAATTATATCAACAAAATTTGGAATGTTTTTTAAAAAGTGTTTAAAATGAAAACTACATTATATATTTGTTTACAGAAAATGGATAAATTTATAAGCGTCTATACAGGTATAACAAATTCCCTGTGTCATGAATCAAACCCACAAAACTTTGGTTGCTGCAACACAGCCTTTATCAAACAGAGCATACTTATAAAAGACATGAACATTTAAAGAAAATCTGTATAGAATGATATACTTCTCTAATTCCATAGTTA